CACACACACACACACACACACACATACACACACATACACACACACACATACACATACATACACATACACACACATACACATTCACAAATACATACGCACACACAAACACGCACACACGCATATGCACACACACACATGCATACATACGTACACATACACACACATACATACTCACTCACTCATTCACTCACTTACTCATTTACTCATTCACTCACTCACTCACTCACCCACTCACTCACTCACTCACATACACAAACAAGTTTTCATGTTTCTTTTAAATGTGCATGTGAAAATGAAATACCATGAGTCTTTTTATTAAAATAAAGGTGACTTTTGAGTAATTAATTTACGAAAGCCACAAAATATTTGATCCACTGTAGAATAAAGATTGTTTTCTTATAAAACAACCAAAACCTCTTTTTCATTTCGACACTTTATAAGAGGATTTTCCTCTGCTATTGTTAAAGTGTAACAACCGACTCAATTGTTAAAGCAAATCATAGTAAATCTACCATTTGTTGTGGCATGGTCCAGTAACGATGAAAGGAACGAAAGTCACATGAAGAGTGTGCTATGCTTCTGGTATGATTATTAAGATGTGTACTTACTGAATTGAGGATCATTAGACTGAATATCCAGTTTCTCTTGTTTTTCAGCAGTAAGAGTTATCAAATAACGTTTCTGTTTTCATTGCTTTTTCAACAAGTAATTGGAAAACGTTCTTAAATGTATGGTCCTAGTCATAGAAACATGTGATGGCGCATGCACGCACACGCACACGCACAGGCACATGCACGCTCACACACACACACACACACACACGCGCGCGCGCGCGCGCGCACACAAGTGACCCCTTTCCCCATGTACCCACACCACTGTACAGACATTCACCAACCACACAGCGGCGGATGAACGTTTCCTTTTGTTTACACATAATCAAAGATAAAACATCTCAAAATGGTTCCCTCCTCTGTTTGGGATTCTGAAAACGAGTCATCGTAAACACCAGTGGCTTACTGTGCGTTATTGCACATCTCATACACGTTCATAGAGTGGTGTACCTTCGAAACAAAGAGAAGAAGCAAAGAATGTCCTCAAAGAATTTCTTTTGAAGAAACGAAAAGAAAGAGCGTTAATGGCGATATTGGCTGCGGCATCTACATAATTGCACGAGGATTTTCGATGACCCACTTTTTTTTCTTATTAAAGAGTGAACCCTTGTATAGTGTACTACCTTTGATACATTATAACTGATCTATAATTATTATCAATGCGTCAACTTTTTCATTTCCTGTGTGCATGTGTGCTGCCCCCTCCCCTCCACACCCCTCCACCCTTACACTTGTCCTTTTGATTATATTAGTATGTATATCATTATTATGTTCCGTTTTAAGAAATGACGTCATGTGCTATGAGTTCATGCTTTTCCCCTGTTCCTATGATCCGCACCTTCGTGCACACCAGAGTGCACACTAGCTTGGACACCATCACTCTGTCGCCACGCACCCCCGAGGTACAGCAGAGCTCGCCCTTCTACCAGGCGTACGAGCCCACCCCTCAGTACCAAGCTCCGCCCCCTCAGCAGATGTACACGCCCACCGGCATCCTACTGGAGCAGCAGCGTCTGCAGGAGCAGCAGCAGGACGAGGGTGAGGATATAGTTCCCGTCTGGGAGAGAAGGAAACAGTTTCAGCAAGGATCGGGCCAGGATGCGGGAGGTAGACGGTTGTATTGAGTTGAGGGGCTCGCTGTCAGAGTCTCGTGGCTTGTAGCGCACAAGAGAACACAGCGGCATCGCGAGGCGGCGGAGACTGGGGGGGGGGGGGGGATTGTTCCCAACTACTTTTTTCCTAGTTTAAGTTTGTCAGATTTGAAGTCTATTGGAAACTGATAAAAAATGTGGCTTTATAGAGAAAAAAAAAACATCCATAATGTACAGAAACGACCAAAAGCTTGTTCCTTTTAAAGTTAAGAGGAAAAAAGATATAGATCTAACTTTAAAAAAAGAGACACCTGATACAACACTTGGCTCTTTTTTGTTTAAAGAACGCGACCTGTAAATATCTAATAGCTTTAACATACTAGTATGCTGATTACGTACAAAACCCAAAGATGAATTATCAATGATATTATGATGAATTTTGAAGACAAAAGTTAAACAAGCTGAGAAAGCGCAAGCTATTTCATTTTTAGAAAATTTGTTTGCACTGTAGGATAATCTAGAAATTGTTAGCTTTATGCCTCATAGAGAAATACGTACACGTGTATAATTGTAAAGGTAAACTCTGTAAAATCATGTAAGAGAAGCGACCTCCAGAGTCGAAGGTCGATCTTCCAAAGGGGACAGCACAGGGTGGGTGGAGAGCCATGGAACTTCCAAAATATATCAATTCTAGACCGCCCAGCAGGCGATTCGAACAAACATCCTCTGGATGTTAGTCAGGCCTGTGCCAATTGTTTTGTTGACAAGTCACTAATGTGTCGACCCAAGATTTTTTCCGGCATACTTGGCATGAAGAATAGGCCTCTAACGCTTTCCTGGATAGAAGTCTAAGTAATTGTACTTTTTTTTTTCTTAAATTGTTATGAATCCACAAGTTAGTAGCCCCTGGTACTCGAAATTCTTGAAGCAAGCGTTTTACCAATATGTAATTTTAAGCCTTAGCCTTATCTAGCTACAAAAACGCCATTATAGTCCTTTGTGGGCTAGATGAGTCACCTCGTAACAACTGGTACTCCTTTGCTCAGTTGGCATCATGCTGTTCTGCAGAGCTCATGGGCGACCACGGTTTCAATCCTAAACAGCACCATTCTTAATCAGGCTTTAATTGCCTGGGGAGTTCGCCAGGTTCACCAACCGTTTGCATCGATATTTTAACATACAAATGCTAGGATCTAGGTACTGTTTGTAAAAAAAAAAAAATTTTAATATATATTTAAAGACTAGTTATATTGTGTTATTAAACTCTTACACAAACTTGTATCTGCCGCTGCCTCGCGATGTCGTGCACGCTCTGGCCTTGGTGTGAGCAATGTTGAATGCCTTCAGCTGTTTGAGTAGTGAGCAGACACCTCGGACTGCGCTCCTCCGCGACATCATCATTTGGCGATCACCCCGCATCGCTGTTCGAGCCTCTGCCAAGTTGCTTTCTTTTTCATTTGGTTTTATTTCGTTTATATACTCTGTATATTATGTTCATACTCACTTTTTGTGTTCTGTGTATTGTGCTGAGTATAATATTATGCTTTATTCTTATATTCTTAACCGTTTCCCAACTTGAGCCTCTTGCGTTAACAAAACCATTTTTTAAGAAAGATTATACATGTTTTTGTTTTTCAATTAATTTAAAGTCTTATTCCTTCGTAATACTGTGAACATGAATGAAAAATAAAGGATATGAGCTGAAAAATCAAGATGACCTGGAAAATAGAGGATAGAATGGCGGGAACATCAGACACATTGGAGTCGAAGGTGGGAGAATATGGGGAGGAGGGGGGGGGTGAAGAGGTAGTAGAAGGAGTTGGGAGGGAAGGGGGACACTGTTTGAATAGAGAGTGGAGATAAACCGTTTAGGAATCATACCACTAAAAGTAAGATGCAAACTTGGAGATTCCAGTGCAGACTAGTTTTATGCGAATCTCTACCGATAGCCTTATAGCTCGGTTTTAGTACAGAACTTTGTTATAATATATCCACAATTCTCGTGCGTGCTAGAGGGCCTATTTCTGTAAGGATTTTGTATTGGCCTGCTTATTAAGGCTGGTTGCGGACTAACCAGTTTGTCAGCAACTGAAAGTGACATTGATTCATATGGGCCGTTGTATCTTCAGAAAAATTGAGATAGTTTTATTTAACATTATCACCTGTGTCAAACATAATTTACATACAGAGGACAACGCGAGTATTCATTATTAATCATACATTTTGTATTAACTTTCTGGTACGCCATTACGCTTTTAGCCGCTGTGGAAACAAATAGTTCGCAGACTGGGTTCAGCATGTGAAGTTTTTGTTTTATCTATGAAAACATTTTTGTGCGTATCGTCTGGTGATTCTTTTTTTTTTTTTCCTTTTTTTTGGACTTCTTAGCTATTTTGTTTGGCTGTGAATATTTGTTGCTGATTTCGTGAGAATGCTTTTATTATAACATACTCCTGTGGAAACGTCTTTTATTTCTTAAATGTAAGATTTTTTGGACAATATAAAACTTTTGTTTTCATTTTCATTTTCTACTTACTGCAGAAGATAATCAAAACAACTTAATGGATTTAAAATACCAACTGCGGTCAAGATATTATATTTTGATTATAACGATGATGCAAACAAGTCGGAAGGAGAAAAAATCGAAGAAGGTAGAAGAGGGCTTGAAAGAGGGGCGAGAAAGGAGAGTTACGCAGAGTACGTAATGATGATGCTAAAGAGGAGGAGGAGAAAGGAAAGCATGGGGGGAGAAGGGTAGACAAGATTAAGCTTACACGTAAAAACTCTTTATTTTTTTTTCTACACTTCAAAATGTCCTCCTTTAACACGTTTTAGATCGTGAAACGATTACACAATGGTTAATTATTGTTAATGGCATTGTGGCAAAACCAAAAAGAACCAATATTTATATCTGCTGTGATGTAATTCATTAACTCTTTTCTGGTAACGAGTTATCAGCACCTAGTCCAAAAGAGCAGCAGAAGGCCTTGATGTATCATTGTTGGGTACAGATCGCTTTTATTTTAGTGTTCGCTGTAATATGATAAAACAATTAGTAAGCCCCCATATAAAGTCAATAAGAGACAATGTATACTATGTCCTGCATTTGTGTCTTCGGTCATCCTTTGCTCCTATATTTACTTCTTCTCTCATTCCTTAATCTCAAACCTACTCTGTGTCATTCGGTGACCCTGTTGTATATTTATCTTTTTTTCATTCCTTCATGTCAAAGGTGTGATGTGTCTTGTGTATAATTAGCTTCTCTCATTCCCTCGTCTCGAACCTGCGCTGTGCCGTTCAGTGAGGACGCCAGCTAACAAGCCACCACCTCGTATCCCCAAGCCTAAGCCAGGTCCTTCGAGCTACGGCAATTTCGGCACTGACTACAGGTGAGGATGACAACACTGTCGTTTATGGGGGAACAGCTGTGGGTTAAGGGCGTCTGTGTAACGGTTAAGGATGTAACGGTTAAGCGCTTTGCTGATTCACGTTGAAAATGTGAGTCCGATTCTCGAGTGGGAAAGTCTCTTGTTTTGGTTGAGTTCGGTTTGGTGTTTGTTGTTTTTGTTGTTGTTGTGATTTTTTTTGTTTGTTGGTTAGTTGATTTTTTTTTTTTTTATTTGTTTATATTTTCAAATCAAGTGTCTCCGTCATTTTGCTGGGATGTTGCATCTTTCGCTGTCCCGCTGTCCGGGTTGATCCTGACAGACAGGGTCGAAGAAAGCGCACCTCTTAAATTTCCTAACAAATTGTGCCCTTGATGGCGCTTAGCGTTATCATTGCAAATTAATTTGATGTCGAATCATTTTATTTGTGTGAAGCCCAAGAAAAAGAAGGCAGATCGAAACCAAAAGAGAGAAATGCTAAACTTGGCTATAGAAATCACTTCACAGTATAAATCAATAATGTTACTGCGTTGATGTAGGTCTGGCGAGTCACTACTTCTGTAGATGTCACGGTAGACAACCGTGTGGTAAGTGACCCAAGTTCGAGTCCCCCAGATAGAAAGTCTTAAACATGGGGTGTTTGGGGAGTTTTAAATGCTGTCCGGCCACTTGGTCTTATCCCTTTGGAAAGGGGCGTTATATCGGAGGTCATACCTCTTCAATGACAAGTAAAGTAAAGTTGTTCCCGCATCCGATCCGGGCATTGGGGATTGCCTTGTTAGTGAGACAACTTCCTGGGCAGTTGGCATATTGTGGTAGGGTGGCCAGTTCCTTTCTACGCCGCCTTTACTTCCCCATCTTGAACCCAGGTACCCATTACTGCTGGGTGGGCAGGTGGGGGCGAAAAAAATCCGTGCCCGAACCGAGGTTCAAACCCGGACTTTCCGCTTCGGAGACGAGCGCACTAACCGCTCCGCTACAGCACCCTACTCAATGACAAGACAGTTTTAATAGGAGCATTAAATTCACCTTTTTAAAAATGCTATACCACTAAACGTTTCCTTTATAAAATTCAGCTATTTCCCATTTCTCTCCTATCACTATATTGTGTCTGTCAACCCTCTGCTGGTGTTGGTTTAAACATCAAACAACTTTACTCTTTGATCCAGTTTAATCAACTGCGTGTCAAATCATCCTAAGCCACCCCCCACCCCCAAACAAAAAAAAAAACCCGCCGCCACACCCAGCCCACCCTACGTCCGTATGCTCAAGCCCTCAGAAGCCAATACGTCTTTACTGTCTCTCTTTTACGTCGCAGTCGACTCGATTTGGATTATTTAGGAGACTTGTCAAGGCCAACTTGGAATGGATGGGATACAGCATCCTAACAGAAAGACGGTAAAATAAACATTTCCTAGGGGAAAACCAAACTCATGTCTTTTTCAATGTGCAGAGGTAGAGGGCCTTACCTTCGCACCCCAGACGCCTATGACCTTGTTTGTTCGCGAGCAGCGAAAGGAAGGAATATAGTGTTATTTAAAGATCCTTACGTTTCTTTTTCAGTGTTAACAAACAATCAACCAAAAAGATAAATACTATGTTTTATGTTCTTCTGAAACTAAAAGACAACCTACTGCCCCCCCCCCCTTTAAACCCACAACCACTACCACCACCACCTCCTCCAACAGCAACAACAACAACAACAACAACAGCAACAACAATAGGAACAACAACAGCAACAACTACAGCAACAATAACAACAACAACAACAAAAACAACTACAACAACTACAACAACAACAACAACAATAATAATAACAACAGCAAACAAACACATAAATAAATATACAAACAAACAAATAGACAAAAAGACAAACAGCCAAAAAGATAAAGAAGGAAACAACATATTTACGTATCTGTTTACCTGCAACAACACTGTCTCCCCAACCTTCCCTCTCCACAGAACACCCCAGCAGAAGGCTTCCACCGCCACCTGGCGTCCGTCCCCACAGCAGTTCAAGCCCAACCCGGCCCCTGTGACCGTTGTACCCGTCCAGTACAAGCCTAGCCCACCTGCGCCTGTGTCACCCGCGGCACCCCCTGCCCCGGCGCCGATCTACCAAATTCCAGTGCAAACGGTAAATTACAGTTTCCTCCTAGGCTTTCTTAGATCTAGAGATAGCCTACGTTTCCACTCAAAGGCAGGCCAACAACGTAGAGAATGCTTTGTGCTATTAAAAGTCAGCGAGAAAGAAGCAACCATAATGTCACAATGTATCGATCACAGTGTATTGGTTAGTTTTAGTAATGATTTTACGGCACTTGCAAAGCAATAAGGTAATACAAGTGTTGAAGATTATAGGTGTTACAAGAGAGTAACATGCACACAAAAAAGAATGAGGAAACATATAAGCTAAAGATGATAGATGTTTCATTGGAAAGAAGGAGCAAACCACATCAGGGCACTTTCCAGTGTCTTGTTGACACATGGAAAAACGCAATACACTACAAAAGCGTCTTGCTGACACGTAAAAGAACGCAAGACACAGCGAGGAATATTAATCTATTTCGAGATGCGATTACTTGCTCGCGCTTCTTTTTTATAGCGAATAGCATTCTTTATAATATTCTAGACCTAAGACCACTGTCTGTTGTGTGCGTAAGCGGAAATACCTTCCTGGCAGTCGTATGTTGTTTCTTCTTTGCACTACAATGCAGGTGTCAAGTCTGCCTAATTGCAGCGTGTTGATATTTTGATGCGATAATCAAAAACAGATTATAATATGAACTTGAGATTCTTTTGAGTGTTTCCGCTCGTCTCTTCTCCACTTTGTGTACTTTCTGGTGAATTTCTTCCGGCTAGGAAGCCGCTTTGGATTTGGCATAATTATTTTTTTTAAAGTAACTGTTGTTGCTGAATCTATTGTTGCTAGAAAACCTGTAAAGGATCTGTGTCCTTGCACATTTTCCGTTCTTTCGCCATGCTGCTCTCTGTTACACTTCTCCAATTCCTCCATCTTTCCTTCATTGTTCCCTCTCCATTTTTCTTTTATCTATCTTTCTCTCTATCTCTCTATCTCTCTCTCTCTCTATCTATCTATCTATCTATCTATCTATCTATCTATCTATCTATCTATCTACCTATCTATCTATATAGCTATCTATCTCTCCTTTTACTGTCCCATTCTTTTCCACGTGCAACTTTGTTTTCTTTTCT